AGAACGCAACCATCACAGGTTGTTATATGACGATGGGTGGATAAATCAATCAGAAGGTCTAAATGTAATTGATGGCTTAATTTCCACCTACGATCAAATATTTGTTAAGGGAACTCAAAAGAAGCAATTTTTGGAAGCACGTTACCATAATAATTCAACAGTAACATATATTGCGTTAGAATTTGCGGAAGAGGATGGGACTAAATTAAATTCAACCTCCAAACAATGTTGGTTCCATTCGGCTCCCATCGGCTCTCCAGCAGTATGCTCACAAAACAATGTATTAATTTTAAGAAATTTTTTTATGTAAACAAAATAAAGTTACTTGTATTTAAGTTGTAAATAAATTAATTTTTACTAAAATCAAAACTTCGTTATATTTTATATTTAGATTGTTTCACCTTACAAAAAACCGAAAATAATTAAGAATACTATAAATTGATAAGTTTATAAAAAAAGGTGATAATCAATTAATATCTTAAAATTTAGAAGTTAACTCTAACTTCTCTAATCAACAATTAATCATATATTACACAAAAAAATGATAGTTTACATTAAACAAAAAAATACAACTTAGCCTTAATAAATCCCTTTTACAGCTCCAAATGGTATTTTACGACTCCAATTCCAATCCAATCCAAAATAATCTTCTCCAAAAAGAAATAGTAACAATGATACCAAAATATTGAGGTTATGAATGACCCAATCTGTCACCAACAGATACCAAGTGACTTTTAAACGACCTTCGATGACGTAGCTCCAAGATGACGTTCCAGAAATACTTCTAATAAAGTTCTTCTTATAAAGATCGCAATATTAGACCTCACCAAAAATTCATATATAATGTAAAGGACATTGAACAGGTTACAACTCAATACATGAACGATGTTAATAGGCAAAACAAAACCACAGGCAAGCAACGCATTAATAAATCTTGAGCGGTATTTCTCATGAAATTTACAACTCAACAATATGTGATGCAGATCCGCAAATCTTAATCTTATACAAGTGAGATGGAAAACGACCGTAACCAAATTTCAGTGGTGCAATAGTAGCTGAAAACCTACGAGACACCTCAACCCCCATGTCCCACTGGCGAAACAAGACAGTAGGATGTATAACTGCATATTGTGTTATTCTTTTATTATAGTATGCTTTCCAGTGCTCTCTTTCTTCTTTATTTCTGTAGAGGGAAAGAACTTCTCCAGAGTGGAGTCCCACATCAATGTGCTTACCATCCTGTATCGCCTCCTTAGCTAACACGTCAACTAGTTCTTTGTGAGTTATACCGCTATGTGCTTTCACCCATATAAATGTACATGAAATTCCTTGTTCCGACAATGCCACAAGAGTGGATACAATGTCCAATACGCAAGGGTGGAGAGTAGTGTAATGTTTTTTGTGTCTTAAAGCCATCAACACACTTTGAGAATCAGACAATATTGACACGACAGAGTAACGGACTGACAAAACATACCGCAGGGCCTCAAGGATTGCATATGCTTCCGCAGAGAAAATGCTACTATGAGGGTCCAACTTTAATTTTATGTGATACCCACTGCTGGGTACCCAAGCTGGGTACTAAGAAGGCACAACCGCAACCGTCAGATGTCTTAGACGCATCTGTGTAAATAATCAAACTATCTTTAATCTCATTCATTAACTGATTGAATATTCCTTTATTGTGTAATGTGTTATCACTAAAATGAGGGAATATAACATGTATCGGTTGAATATAATCAAAATNTTCGCAAATCCGGTGGTGCGTAAGGTCTTCTCGAATTATAAACTGAGTTCCTCTTAACAGTTTCTTATGATAAAATACGCGATCTTTGGTCTTGTGACTTATAAATTTCATAATAATAGGTCGGTTCTTTCCATTTCGCTTCGGTCCAACTCGATGACAACGATCGATAGAATCCGGTAACAATGCGAGGTTCATTTTCTTATTAATAATATCTAATACAACTTGTTCGGTGTTCTCATTGTCTGTCTCGCTTACCCCGAAAACTCGAATGCTATTCCGTCGAGTGTATTGCTCAAGTCGATCCAGTTTTTCCTCATGGTCTGCTCTACATACGGTATTGTCGGACTTCGAACGAGTAACCTCCGCTTCCAAAATTACAACCTTTTCTTCGAGAATATTAACCTTTTCCTTGTATTCCCTGAGTTCATCCCTTAGAATGGACGATATTGATTTGGCGATATTGGCAATGAACGACTCTTTCTTGAATAACTCAGTCAACACCTCCTCAAAATCACTCAATTGTTTCTTGGTGACCACCATTCTCTTTAACTAATTAACACACTCAACTTAAAAAAAAAAAACTAACTTTAAAACGTCGAAAATCAAGTTGAATTAATCGGTAACTCAAACCACCTCGATAATTTTCGTCGACTTAACCTGGAGAGGCACGCGCACGTCTAGCTTGGTTGCATGCTTATCATAAACTGATTGAATATTCCTTTATTGTGTAATGTGTTATCACCAAAATGGGGGAATATAACATGTATCGGTTGAATATAATCAAAATATCGGATGGCAGGGAATATAGATCGATGCAGCACCCTGTGCAGGTTTGGGAAGAGCTGTCTGTAAGCAACAACAAGGGGAGATAAAGATTTCCTTCTCCAAAAACGAGCGGACACTGTTGATACTGTAAGTCTATGGATGTTCTTCGGGAGAACACCATTCGATGAAACATTTAGTTTCAGGAGTTGTTTAAATGCCAGCACGTTTCTTCGTAAAAAAAGAGGTGGTTCGACCGCTTCAACACTCAAAGCTTCCACCGGAGTGGAATTCATGGCGCCCAAAACTATGCGTAAAGCTTTGCTCTGAATAATTCTTAAACGTTTCAATTGATTCTGTTTTGCGTTACCAAATATACTACAACCAAAATCTAAATGTGATCTAATACAGTTTCTATAAAATCCGCGTGCCACGTGAATATCGGCCCCCCATTTAACTTTCACAAATACCCGAAAAACATTCAAAAACCATTTAGGTTACTGTGTAATTCTGAAAGGCTGCTGTTAGAGCACAAGATACAAAAGTCGTCAGCGTACTGTAATGTTTTAACGTTGCCCTCAAAAACTTTATGAAAGTCAATGGTATATAGGTTAAATAAAATCGGACTTAAAATTGAGCCCTGTGGAAGACCGGTTGATGAAAGCCTTGGGCCGTGTAGCGAACCGCCTTGATCCCTAACGTATAATTGCCGATTCATAAAAACATTTAAAATATTCCACATCGTGATTGAAGGCAATCCAAGATTGATAAGTTTATTTTGCAGTACTTCCAAAGAAACGCAGTCATAGGCCCCCTTCATATCTAGGAATATGGCACCGCTAAATTTGTTTTGTGAAAGTGCTAACTGAATGTCTGTAATCAAATCAATTACAGCGTCAATACAACTAAATGTTCTAAAACCAAATTGTTGAGAGGGCAGGATTCCATTTTCCTCCATCCACCACTCGAGTCGAGCCTTGATTAAACGCTCATAAGTCTTAAGTATGCAAGACAAAAGAGATATGGGCCGAAAAGTACATTGATTACCTCCAGAAGCATCACTTTTTGGGATTAAAACAATTATAACTTTTTTAATTTCCGGTATATCTTTGCCCGTTGCCCACATTTCATTATACATAGAGAGTAAGAAGGACAAAATTTCAGATGGTAAACGCTCTAATATCTTATAGGTTATGTTATCGAAACCAGGTGCAGTAGATTTGCGATGTGCAAAAGTTAAGCAAAGTTCGTGCAATGTGAATGGTGATGTAATAAAATGTGAAGATGAAGCACTAACAGTTCTCTGCATCTTATTAACTACAGATGGAGGGGAAAGAGACTGTAGCATTTCATAAACTTTTTCTTCTGGAATGTCAGAGCAAGTGTTGGAAATGTTACTGAATTTCCTAATATTATTCCACACAACTTTTGGAGAAGAGTTCCTATTTAAGCTGTTACAGAACTTCTTCCATTTATTACGTTTTTTGTACTTAAGGAAACGCTTCACGTAAGGAGATGTTTTCCGAATTTTAATATAGTTATCCAAAATAGGGCATCGCTTGTAGGCTTTAATGACTTTTTTCCTCTCTTTAACTACCTTAGTACATTCATTGTCCCACCAAGGCGGTTGCCGTCTAGACAAAGCGCGAATAGGTTTTTTAAGGGGAAAAGCACTATTGCAAGCTTCAACAATCAGATTAACAAAATAATAGTACCTATCCTGTAAAGATAGTTCAACTTTGGACGGGTCAAAATTTCTTCCAATAAATTTAGCTAAATCGCCATACTTTTCAGGAAGAATCGTCCATTTACCTTTAGGATGGACAATACGCAAAAATGAACTACTTGATTCGAATTGGATGTAAAGCGGAAAATGGTCAGAAGTGAAAGAGTCATTCAAAACCTCCCATTTTACTTTATATGCTATAGCACTAGACAGAATGGTAATGTCCACAGCAGAAGCGCCCTCTCCCGGTTTAGTTATTCGAGTAGGAGATTCATCATTACAAAACACTAGATTGTGGTTGTCTATAGATTTCAAAAGTATATTACCAGCGTTATCACTCTTAGCAGAACCAAAAGCAATATGATGTACATTAAAGTCACCACCTATCAGGAATGGAGTAGGAAGTAACGAGAATAGCTTATCGTAGTCAGAACATTATATATCCGCCCTATCTTGGCGATATATAGAACAACAGGTGTTTGGGTGTCTTCAAAAACACTAAATAAAAACTTGTGGACTGTATACAAACTGGAAACTTTATTGAGTAAAGAAATCAATACGTAATTAATTTAATCTTAAAACACAACTGTCTTCGCCAGTGGCCGAATTGCTTCTCTTTTCTAACGGTTCTTTCCACCCAAGTCGACCCTACGCGTCCCGCCGTCGCCCTAAACTCGACGCCAATGTCCATGTGGGCGATGAGATCATCACAACACAAAACTTTAACGTACATGCCCCCAGCCTTAAACGACTTGAGTCGTTTAACTATTCTTGTTCAATTGGAAGAGGACACAATTTGTTGCACGGACGCAGCACAATACCCGTCACTGTCTTCACCTCTGCCACTCGATGCACCCCATCTCTACCAGGAATGAGCCTGACGATGCGACCCAATCGCCAATCCAAAGGAGCAGTCCCGTCACTCTTGAGCAGAACCAAAGCCCCCTGTTGTATCTGGAAATCGTTGCCTCCCCATTTAGTTCGTTGCTGAAGTTGACCCAGAAAATCCCGCTTCCATCTTGACCAGAAATGTTGTCGGTATTGCTCTACTTGCTGATAAATCGTGAGCCTGTTTTGAGAAATATTCTGCAAGTCAGCCTCCAAGGTGGACGTCAATGGACGTCCAATGAGTAAATGAGCCGGTGTTAAGGGTGTCAAGTCATCAGGATCATTCGAAAGGGGAGTGAGAGGACGCGAGTTAAGGATTGCTTCTATTTGCACGAGTAAAGTAGTAAACTCCTCAAACGTTAAGTGATTATTATTTAAAACTCTCTTTAAATGGTGTTTCGTCGATTTCACACCCGCTTCCCACAAACCTCCAAAATTTGGTGCGTATGGTGGTCCGAAATGCCAATGAATACCTTGATCATTTGTAAAAGTTTCTAAAAGTTCTATCTCATCAATGTTCGCCTTAACTAAATTTGTTAATTCTTTCAATTCTCTTTGAGCACCAACGAAGTTGGTCCCATTATCAGAATAAATATGCAAAGGTTTACCTCTGCGCGCAACGAATCTTTTTAAAGCCAATAAAAAATTATTTGTCGTAAGGTCACTAACTAGTTCCAAGTGAATGCATTTTGTTGCAAAACATATAAATAAGCTAACATAGGCTTTTCGTAACTTGGAACCACGTCCCCTTTTTTCTCTTATCATAAAAGGACCCGCGTAGTCGATGCCCGTTATGTAGAATGGAAAAGCTGCGATCGTTCTTGTCTTTGGTAAATTTCCCATAACAGGTTGGACAGCTTTTGCTCTGAATCTATGACATTTGATACATTCACGCACCACCTGCTTTGCAATATTAGGTCCAGAAATTGGCCAAAATTTCTCTCTTACAGAATAAAGTAGTTGTTGAGGACCAACATGAAGTAATTTTTTATGTTCACGAATAAACAGTAGTTTTGTTAACCAATGTCTTGCTGGTAATATAATTGGATGTCGCTTATCATACTCCAAATTTGCATACGTCAAACGCCCTCCAACACGCAGTAAACCAATTTTATCCACAAAAGGATTTAAACTCAGCAACTTGTGATGTTTTTCCAACGATTTCCCTTGAATCAGCATACCGATTTCTTGCCCAAAGGCCTCAGCTTGAGTAATCTTTATCAAAATTACCATCGCTTGTTCCAATTCTTCTAAGGTAAGTACACCTGTTATTCTTTTTTCTTTAGCCACTTTACAATTGGTTATAAAGCGCTGTAAGTATGCAACACATCCCTGTAATCGGTTCAGATTAGAAAATCTTTCAAACGGGAATTCAAATGATTCAACAACCGAAGTAACACATGACTTAATTTCAGGTAATGTATTTGTAGCATAATCTTTGTGTTTTTTAGGCCAGACAGTTTCAGGCTGTAACAACCATTCAGGACCGTGCCACCAAAGAAATGCATCCTTTAGAGCTACCGGGGATACCCCTCTAGATAACAAATCTGCCGGGTTTTCTCCCGTAGGTACATAACGCCACGCTAACACGTCAGTTTTCTCTTGAATTTCCGCAACTCTGTTTCGTACGAATGGCTTCAAAATACTTGTCGAAGCATTTATCCATCCCAACACAACTTGCGAATCCGTCCAATATGTACAACATTTGATCTGCAATCTTAAGGACTCAATTACTTTTTGTGCCAACTTTGCTGAGACGTA